ATAATCCAGTTTCTCAGATTATTTGCTGAGCATACAGATTGAATAAGTATGGTGAAAGAATACAACCCTGGTGCATACCTTACCTAATTTTAAACCATTTGGTGTTCCCTTGTTCTATTCACACAGTTGCCTCTTGGTCTATGTATAGGTTCCCCATGAGCACAATTAAGTGTTCCAGAATACTCATTCTCTGTAATGTTGTCGATAGCTTGTCATGATTCATGCAATCAAGTCTTTGCATAGTTAATAAAGCACAGTTAAACATCTTTCTGATATTCTCTGCTTTCAGCCAAGATCCGTCTGACGATAGCAGTGGTTTCCCTTCTTCCATGACCTCTTCTGAATCCAACTTAAACCTCTGACATTTCTCTGTCAGTGTACGGTTGCAGTCATTTTTAAATTATCTTAAGCAAAATTTTATTTGCATGTGCTGTTAATGATATTATACAATGATTTCAGCATTCTGTTGGGTCGCCTCTCTTTGGAATGAGCACAAATATGGATCTCTTCCAGTCATTTGGTCAGGTAGTCGTCTTCCAGATTTCTTGGCATAGATGAGTGAATGCTTCCAATGTCACATCAGTTTGTTGAAATATTTCAATTTGTATTCTGTCAATTTCTGGAGCTTTGTTCTTTGCCAATGCATTCAGTGTACTGTGGACTTCTTTCAGTATCTTTGGCTCTTGATTCTATGCTACCTCTTGAAATGATTGAGCATCGGCCTTTTTTTTTTTTTTTGTAAAGTGACTGTGCATTCCTTTTGATGCTTTCTGCATCATTCAGTATTTTGTAAGTTGAGGCTTGAATTTTTCTTCAGTTCCGTCAGCTTGAGAAATGCCAGGCATGTTCCTCCTTTTTGATTTTCTAACTCCAGGTCTTTGCACATTTTTAAATACTATTTGACTTTGACTTCTCGAGCTGACATTTGAAAATTTCTATTCAGCTCCTTTACCTCCTCATTTCTTCCATTTGCTTGTGCCTCTATGCTGGAGAGCAAGTTTCAGTGTCTCTTCTGAAATCCATTTTGGTCTTTTCCTTCTTTCTTGTCTTCTTAATGACTTTTTTTTTTTTTTTTAATTAATTAAATGTT